TTGGTGCTGGCCTATCTCTAGCTGCATAGTCTCTGTCAGGTGAATTGCTGGGAAGCTCCCTATCAGTGAGCCATCCACTTTCTCAAATTGCATGGTTTGGGACAGCTTTTTCACTCATATCCCCAGCTTCAGCACCATTTGCATGCTCATTAAACACTGGGTGCAGCCTAAGTGCCTTCATTTCTCCCCGAGCTCCCAACTTTGGCACTATGATCTTCACCAGGATTGAAAAGGAGCTGATGGCTCCACTTACTCCTCTTCATCCTCACTCTCGTAAAGGGTCAGCTGCTGGTCCTCCTCAGTTGGGGATCCCTCCCCCTCACTGATAGGGGAGGAAACTTCTATGACCTGGTGTGCCACATTTTACTTCTCTTGCTCCTTCTGCTGCAGCTTCTTTGCCTTGACAGTGGTAGGGGCCCTTGCTGCTGATCGGGGAGCAGTTGCCAGGTACTCAGCTGCCCTATGGCACTGCTGGCCATACTGGAAGCACAAGACAGCCTCATGGCCTAGGGTGTTGGGGAAACAGCTGCCTGGGTGGATGTGTTGTGGTTAGCCGGCAGCAAGTGCAGATGACTGAGGAGAGTGAGGACTCTGATGAGGGGCCAGGACCATCAGGGAGTGGACTGCTGCCTTCAGAGATTGTGGGGGCTGGCAGCAGTGATGAGGAGGTTCCCGAGGAGCCTGTGCCAAGTGGACATGAACAAAGGATTACTTGGAGGAAAGAACAATTACAGCAGCACAGGTGACTCAGGAGTAAGGCTGCAAGGTAATGGCCCCTCCCTCAACAGGATAAAAGCCAGGTTTGAAAAAGCATTCTTTGCAGAAAGCAAAGAAGCTCTGAAGTTCAACTTGTGGACATCTTAGTTCATGTTTGGAGAATCTTGTAAATTAGTTCTTATCTCTGGATTTTTGGCAGCATTGATGAACAACTTGGCAAGGTTCTTTCTTGTTGGAGCTAATTAGTGGAAAGCAGCTTTTTATCTGTAAAGGAACAGCATTTGTTATTAAACCTTGAAAGGTGAGAGCTGCTGCCTTTGTCTGTGTTTGCTCTTTGGGAACCTGGTTGGGTCAGAACAGGATGCTGGCCTCTGTCCCAGTAGGCATCTTTCTTGGCTCCTCTTTGGTTTGGCTTCAGGGATACCATGCTTCTTGTATTCTCTTATGTTGAGATCCACCACCGTCGCCATCCAATACCAATCATGGATCCAGTTGAGTATTCTTTGGGACAGGCAGGTGTGGAATAGCTCTCAATTAAAGCCATCTTTGAAATGGCAGACCAGTAGCTGCTCTGGCCAGTGCCTTAACTTGCCTGCAACTCTTCAGAACTCCTGGATGTATTCTTCCACCAGTCGGTTCCCTTGTCTAAGAGCCTGTATTTCTGATTCAGCTTTCCGGATTTGGGTCTCATCTTCAAACCTGTCTCTAAATCCTCTATGAAGTCATCAGTTTTCCCTAGCTCCAGTGCCTCTACATTGTAGAGGCCCATCACCCACTCTGTCACATCTCCTTTGAGGTTAGCAGTCATGGCATTCACCATTGCCACCTCATTGGGATAGGCTGGGACGTACTGGTCCAGGTGGGCTCATATCTTTGTCATTTGTGTTCTAATTTCTGGCTCTGCATTCATGCTCTGTATTTTATTCAAGATCTCCCTACATCTTCTTGTCAAAGTATTCTTCATATCCTGGGTTTCCAACGCAATTTCTTCCCAAGTTCTACTTATCTTTATTTTTGTCTCTTTTATTTCTTTTTGTCCAATAATCCAACAATCTTTTATTCAAACCAAAGTCACTTTTCAGGCAAAGAATTCAATGTCCAATGGTCAGGAGTCTTTGTATCCCCAAGTTAGTCAGTCTGTTCTTCTATATAATCCAAAAGTGGAATAAGACTATATTGAAACTTTCCAAGGTCTTTTTAATAATAAAAGTTTCCCTTTAAATCTTCCAAAGCCAGGTCTTTACAGGATTTTTAGGAATATATTGCACTTTCCTTTGACAGCAGGTGGCACTCTTGCATCAGTATTCACTTTATCTTGTCTTATTTCTTGTTCAAGAATTTTACTCAAATTCTCCAAATGTAAATATGATATTAACTTTTTATATATTCTAGCATTTTACAATGCATAGGCACAGCAATGTTTGTCCAATTTAAAAGTCCAATTTTCTGTATTTTTAGCAAATTTTCTGTTTTCTTCTTTTCCCTTCTATTTTAAAATCTTAAGATTTTACTCACAGTGTTAGGTCACTGCCATCTTGGCTGCCTCTTCTTCTTGCCATGGCACAGAGGGTAAAGAAAGCCCTGGGGCCCTGCAGGGGAGTTGCGTCCTCCCCTGGAAACTTGCAGGATGCCCCTCTTTTGCTTCACCTTTCCTCCAAGGTGGTTTTGGCTTTTTCTGGAGCCCATGAGTAAGGGGAAGCTGGTGCAGGAATGGAGAGCTCCGTTCCCTTGCAATTGATATCACCACAACGTCACTTCTGGTTTGGAAACTTTGGGACATACCTAATAACTTCAAATAATCCTGCCAAAATTTAGACATAAACTGCACCCTTGATCAGAGCTAATTCTCTCCAGGGCTCCATGCTCAGAAAGAGTTTTGCTAGAGTTCATGCCGAGAATATTTTGGGGCAAGTCATGAAATGCAGCTGCTTACAGAAGAGGTTGGTAATGACCAAAATCATGGTGTTTCTGAAACTTTTTAGTAGTTCCACAATAAAGTACATTGGACTCTTGCCTGCTGAAGACCTCTTCCAATCCACTATATACCTCAGGATATGAGAAATTGACCCTGTTGGTGAGTAACTGCCACATCTTCCCCTTTCACTATCTTAATAGCGGGTGTGTGGCAATTCAGCTTTACTTTATGGGCTTTATGGGCCTTTTCTCAGAGTGCCTAGAATGAGCTGGAAGGGACCTTGGAGGTCTTCTAGCTTCCTATACCATTTCAGATAAGTGACTATCTAGACTGTTCTTTAAAATATCCAATGATGGAGCGCCCATGATTTCTGGAGGCAAGCTGTTCCACTGGTTAATTGTCCTCACTGTTAGGAAGTTTCTTCTTAATTCTAGGTTGCTCCTCTCTTTGATTAGTTTCCAACCATAGTTTCTTGTCCAGCCTCTGGTGCTTTGGAGAATAATTTGACCCCCTCTGCTTTGTGGCAGCCCATCAAATACTGGAATACTGCTATCATGTCACCCCTAATTCTTCTTTTCTTTAGACTAGCCAAGCCCAAATCCTGCAGCCATTCTTTATATGTTTTAGTCTCCAGGCCTTTGATAATCTTAGTTGCTCTTCTCTGAACTTTTTCCAAAAACTCAAAATCGTTTTTATAGTATGGTGACCTAAATTGGTTGCAGTATTCCAGTGTGGTCTTACTAGGGTTTTATAAAGTGGTACTAATACTTCATGTGATCTTGATTCTATGCCTCTATTGATACAACCCAGGATTAATTTTTTTTGGCTGTTCCTGCACACTGCTGGCTCATATTCAAGTGATCATCCACTAGGACTCCAAGGTCGCTCTCACAGTTACTGTTTTTGAGCCAGGTCTCTCCTAATCTGTACTTATACCTTTAATATTTCCTGCCTAAATGTAAAACTCTGCTTTTCCCCACACTAAAATTCATTTTGTTGGATAGGGCCCATTGTTCAAGTTTAACAATCTTTTAAAAGTTTCTTCTTCCAGGGTATTGATGGGTTCTATTTTTTCAGCCAGGAAACCCCAAGTATTATCGGGTCAGTCATACCAGAGCCCACGATAAAGCTTATAGTTTCCTTGTAGGACTGTATCTTTAATTTTATGCGTACTGTTAAAAATGTGGCAGGGCTCTGCCTGCTAGGGTCCCATCCACTTGGGAGAATGCTAGGAAAATACATATATACAATGTACCATGGATTCATTGGAAGGAAAACTTCATAACAGAATAGCTTCATATTTGAGGACGCTTTTTGCAAACAGTAATTGCAAAATGATGTCATATCAATATTTTTCCAATCAGGTATTACCCCCCCCTTCCCTAATAGCAATATAATGTTTGCACAGTGCTGTGGTAACTGGATTATAGAAAAGGGGGATTTCCCTTCTAAACAATGCTTATCGAAGGTGTCTGGATCAGGACACACAAGCCCAGGTGGGAGCAGGACTAATGCAAGCACTGAATCCAGGAGCCAGAATTCTGCCAATGAGAACATCACCATCTACAAATTTTACCCAACTGTAGTATTACAAAAGGAAAAACAAAAATCACTTTGCTTTGGTTTCAAATAAATTGGTACTGAGCTGGAAATAATCAGCTCCTTTAACCAGCTGCTGCTGTAAATTTGAACTTCTAAATTGAAAAACATTCAGATAGAGCTATGATTAATCTCATCCCTTATTTTTCTACTTACCTTGTTATTCATTTCCTCACTCTCTTTTTTGCAAGTTATGCCCTTTCCTTTGTGCTTTTGATTTGTTTTCCTTTTTAAATCTTATTGTTAATCTGTTACAATTAGGTTAAGTTAAATGAGGAATCTAGCAATAAATGAATTATTGCTAGATTCCTCAGCACTTGAAGACTTGAACGGGTTTTGGGTTTGTTTTGTCCTCTTTTGTTTTATTGGTAAAGTCCTTAGCTGGAAAGGGATTATCTGCTATCTTCTGTATAGTTTCCTTGGCTGATCATAAATAAATTAAACAAATTAACAGATTTAGAATTAATTAGTAGATACTTGGATGGGAGATGCCCAAGAAAGAATAGACTGTAGATTAGACTGAGAAACTCTCAGAGGGCAATGGCAAACTATTTCTGTATGATTGTCAATACAATCCAGAAGGGCAAGTTAAACAGGTTCAAATACAAAGTTATAGTATTTTGTTGGTAAAAATCCAAAGCCCATCTTGCTGATGAATGTACTGGAGATCTAGCATAAAATTTGCAAAATCTGAATTACAAGTGGTGCTTAGGAATTAAAGTACCTGAGACTCAAAATGATTATTCTCATTTTATCACATCATGCCTAGATCTAACTGCAACTGATGATACTAAAGATATCAGCGCTGAGTTTACAGATAGCATTGAAGAGGAAGTACAGAATGGCTCTCACCTACAGGTAAATCCTCAAAGCATTCAAAATGGGATATCTGCAATGGTGGTAAGAACAATGATGTGAACTATGCAAATTCTGAAAGTTTGGGGAACAAGGTGAACTTGAATTATTAGTACACAAGGGTAGATACAATATAGTTGCTGTTACTGAAACTTGGTGGGATGAAACCCATGACTGGAACATACTGATGGAAGGATACAAGTATTTAAAAAAATACAGATGCCATAAAAGAGGAGATGGAGTTGCATTATATGTAAAAGAATTGCAACAGAAATGTATGAAATCAAAGACAAAAATCTCCTAGGATGCATATGGGTCAATATATAAAAAAAGAATGACATGGCCATAGGTGTATACTACAGGCCACCCAACCAAGCAGGAAAAAAAATGTACTTTTTGCTAACCAACTAACAAATATATGTAGGAAACACACTACATTAATAATGAGGGACTTTAATTACCCTGATATAAACTGAAAGCCTAATTCTGCATCAACTGAGAGATTGAACAAGTTCCTGACCAACCTTAGCTAACAACTTTGCCATCTGAAAGGTAGAGGAGAGAATTAGAGGAACAGCCATACTGGACTTAATTCTTACTAACAGAGAAAGGATAGAGGGAGTTGAAACCACAGGAACCTTGGGTGAGAGTGACCATGTCATACTAGACATGCAAACACAAGCAATAGAATACAACAATACTTAGATTTTAAAAGAGCTGATTTTTAACAAACTCAGGCAGAACTTGGGAAAGATTCCTTGGATGAAAATCTTTAAGGAGAAAACAACCCAAGAAGCTTGGGAAACTGAAAAATATGATCATAAAAGCCCAATTGAGCTGAAAAGCCCACTACCACTGAAAAAGAAAAACAGGAAATCCAAGAAGAAACCAGCATGGCTGCACAAAGATCTCTCTGACAAATTTAAAGACAAAAAGGACATGTACAAAAAATGGAAAGAAGGACACATAACTAAGGGAGAATATCATCAGATAGCTAGAATCGGCAAAGATGAAGTCAGGAAAGCAAAGGCTCAGAATGAACAAAGACTTGCAACAAAAGTCAAAGATATTTAAAAAAAAATCAAGGAAAGTGGGTCCACTAAAGAGAGAAGACAGCAAAGAAGTAACAGGCAGCAGAGAGAAAGCAGAACTGTTTAACTCATTCTTTGCATCGTGGTCTTCACACAAAGAGAAACTATAGCTCAACCTTCCAAGAACTTAGTAATCAATGGACATTGCATGGTGGCCACAAATGCAGATACAATCTCGATATGAGAAAGATGCTAAAATGTATGGTTTTAATAAAGAATTAACAGAATTGGACCAGATACTAACTGGAACGGATGAAAAACTGATAAAGAAAATATATTGTTACTTATTAGGTATTAAATTTGAAAGTGAGCAGGTAAAGGAGACAATGATTGTTTGGGCTAAACATTTTGGATATGCAATAGAACTGGATAAATGGGAGAAATTGTGGGTAGAAATGTTAAATTGACTATGTCAACTGCATATAAAGAAAATTTGTATAAAATGTTCTATAGATGGCATTTTGCACCAACAAGTCTGGCAAAAATGTTTAAAGATATATCTGCTAAATGTTGGAAGTGCAGTCAGATACCTGATTCATACCACCATATGTGGTGGACATGCCCAAAGGCTAAAAAATATTGGACAAAAATATATACTTGGTTGGAAAAAATGATAAATCAGCATATAGACTTGAAACCAGAAATATATTTATTGGGCATCCTGCCAGAAAAATATGATAAAAAATATGATATATTTGATTTTACATGTATTAACTGCAGCCAGAATTGTATTTGCACAACAATGGAAGTGTGACGAGATCCCGACAGATGAGAATGTAAAGAAAATATTAGAACGTGCAGAAATGGATAGATTAACACTATTAAGGAAAAAGAAGAAACTGAATATTTCTTGATATGGGACCTATTTTACTATAGATAATAAAAACAGAAGTTAGAAATATGGGGATATAAAAAGGATAAATGTTAAAATGGAGATTTGTTAAGGTAGATAAGTTAAATATTATTGTTATTATAATATTAATCTTATTTGATGAATACTACTGTAAACATCTTGACTATGATTGCCTTAAAACAATTGTACCCAGACAACAAACTGTTTGATTGAAATTGAATTTTTATATGTTATATAAATAAAACAAATAAAAAAAGAAGTGATGGAGTTGAAATTACAAGAACTTTGGTTGAGAGTGACCATGTCATATTAGGATTCAGTACAATGCCAACACAAGTAAAGAACATAATGATACCAGAGTCTTACATTTTAACAGAGCTGATTTTAACAAATTCAGAGCTTGGAAAAGATTCCTTGGATGAAAATTCTAAAGGAGAAAACACCTGAAGAAGCTTAGGAAAGTGAAAAATATGATCATAAAAACCGAGTCCAGCACAATACCACTGAAAAAGAAAAGCAAGAAATCCAAAAAGAAACCAGCATGGTTGCACAAAGGTCTCTGGTAAACTGAATGACAAAAAAGACAAGTACAAAAATGGAAAGATGGACAGATAACTAAAGCAGAATATCAGCAGATAGCCTGAATCTGCAAAAATGAAGTCAGGAAAGCAAAGGCTCAGAATGAACAAAGATTTGTAACAAAAGTCAAACATAATTTTAAAAAGTTTCTTTCAACATATGAATAACAAGAAAAAAGTCACGGAAACAGTCAGTCCACTAAAGAGAGAAGATGGCAAGAAGTAACAGGCAGTCAAGAGAAAGCAGAGCAGCTTAACTCATTCTTTGCATCAGTCTTCCAGCAAAAAGAAACTATAGCCCAACCTAACCTAAACGTAACTATGTTTAGACAAAATAAAAGACAAAGACAAAATAAAATAATAAAAAAACAGATCTGTGAACATCTAGAAATAAACAAAATTATAACTAGTAGCCAGCATGGGGTTGTTAAAAACAGATCATGCCAAACCAATCTTATTTTATTCTTTGACAAAGTGACTAAATTAGTAGACTATCAAAATGTTTTGGACATAGTATATTTAGACTTCAGTAAGGCATTCAATAAGTAAGTAAGTAAGTAAGTAAGTAAGTAAGTAAGTAAGTAAGTAAATAAGTAAGGCATTCAGTAAGGCAGTAAGATGCAGTGGCTCAGTGGCTAAGATGCTGAGCTTGCCAATCGAAAGGTTGGCAGTTCAGCAGTTCGAATCCCTAGTGTTATGTAACAGGATGAGCTCCCATTACTTATCCAGCTTCTGCCAACCTAGCAGTTCGAAAGCATGTGAAAAATGCAAGTAGAAAAATAGGGACCACCTTTGGCAGGAAGGTAACAGCGTTTTGTATGCCTTTGGCATGCAAGCCACATGACCATGGAGATGTCTTTGGACAGCATTGGCTCTTCAGCTTTGTAATGGAGATGAGCACTGCCCTCTAGAGTCGGGAATGACTAGCACATATGTGCAAGGGGAACCTTTACCTTTACCTTTTAACATTCAACAAAGTAAACCACCACCTACTTCTTGGTAAGCTAGAAAAAAAATGGAATAGATAGCATCACAAGCAGATGGATTTGTAAGTGGCTGACAAACTGTGCTCAATGAGTAATCCTTAATGTTACTACATCTACATGGAGGGAAGTAAGCAGTGGGGTGCCACAAGGTTCCATTTTAGACCCAGTACTCTTCAATATCTTTATAAATGACTTATATGAGGGAATAGAAGGTGAACTGATCACATTTTCAGATGATACAAAGCTGGCAGGAATAGCCAACACCCTAGATGATAGCAATAGTACTTAGACTTATATACCACTTCACAGTGCTTTACAGCCCTCTCTAAGCAGTTTACAGAGTCAGAATATTGCCCCCAACAATCTGGGTCCTCATTTTACTGACCACAGAAGGATGGAAGGCTGAAGATCTAGATGGATCTTGACAGACTTGAACACTGGGCCCTATCTAACAAAATGAAATTCATTGCAGAGAAAAGTAAGATCTTACACATAGAACCCCCAAAAGAATACCTACAGATTAGGTGAAACCTGACTTAAAGCAGCAACTATTAGAGGGATCTTGGAGTCCTAGTGGACAATCAATTAAATATGAGCCAATAGTGTGCAGTCAAAAAAGCCAATGCAATCCTAAATTGCATTAACAGATGGATTGAATCAAGATCACATGAGGTACTAGTACCACTTAATAAAGCTTAATAGACCACAGCTAGAATACTGCATCCAGTTTGGGTCACTACAGTCTAAAAAGAATGCAAAGAAGAGCAACAAAGATGATGGGGGACTGGAGGCTAAAACATATGAAGAAGCATTGCAAGAACTGGGCACAGCTAGTCTAGTGAAGAGAAGGATCAGGGGTAACATGATAGCCGTGTTGCAATATTTGAGTGGCTGTCATAGAGAGGAGGGGGACAATCTACTTTCCAAAGCATGTGAAGGCCAGACAAGGAACAATGGATAGAAACTGGTCAAGGAGAGATTCAACTTAGAAATAGCTGAAATTTTCTGACAGTGAGAGCAATCAACCAATGGAACAGCTTGCCTTCAAAAGTTGTGGGTGGAGTGTGGTGAATCACTGGAGGCTTTCAAGAAGAAACTGGACAGCCACTTGCCAGAAATGTTATAGGATCTCCTGCTTAAGCAGAGGGGTGGACTAGGTGACCTATAAGGTCCCTTCCAATTCTGTTATTCTGTTCTGAAGTCTCTATCATGTTTCTTAGGAGCCATGTAATTGGCAAGGTGTGTGAAGGCCCAATTTGCTAAGTGTCAGAGTTTCCCCAGATAGATCCCTTAGGAAAGAAAGGCCCTTGACTCCATTTGATTGAAGTGATAAGTTATTTTACTAAAGGACACTGCTTGCAGGCTAGATCTAAGTTTCCCACACAAAAAAGGTACAAAATGTTTCCCCTCATCCCAGCCCTCTCCCCATGACCAGTCCATCTTCAACTAATGAAGATCTGCTAAGGTCTTTTGAGAACACTGAGATGTTTGGATTAATCCACATTCTTTTTTCAGGGTGCATGGCCTTGGGTACAGGCACAAACTGGTTCCAAGCTGCCGTATTCTTCAAATCACCTGGAAAGAATTCAAGGATAATACTGATAATTTTTTGACAGTTACAGAGCACTAAACTATATTCAGCTGGTTAGCAAGCTTTTTATAGCATACAAGACCTGTCATCAAGGATTTATTTTCTGCATTCACATTTGGATTTCTTTCAATAACTAAGTGCAGTCAGTGACAAATATGGTGAACTTTTCACCAAGACATTTTTATTTACCATACAGCATACAGGGAAATCTACACAATGCTGTCCGACAGCCTATATTGCTAGTTCATTCCACTTGGTGTCATTTTCTTTGATCCTTGGTGCACCATGGGGGGAGAGGGTGAATTAGATTCAGAAACCAGATTTAGGAGAAGACCTCCAAGGTCCTTTCCATCTCTATTATTCTGAAATTTGAATGGATGTAAACAGTGGTGGGATTCAAATATTTTTGCCACCGGTTTGGTGGGTGTGGCTTGGTGGGCGCGCTTGTACGCGCACACACAATTTGCGTGCATGTGCGCACCAAACATGCACTTTGCACAGGCACAGAGGCATTTGCACAGGTGCAGAGGCATTCTAACTAGCCTCCTGCAAGCCTGCACGATGCTGGTCACTTCAGCAGCTGCCACATGGCACTATTCTGTGCCGCGCAAAGCAGCTGCGCTTCAAATTCAACAGATAAAAGTGAGTATGAGAACATGGGTGAGTGGGTGGGTCCAAAAGCAGAGCGGCGGAGAGAACCGGTTCGGTCTCCATTGCTTATCGCTGCTACCGGCTCACCAGAACCAGGCCGAACTGGTAGAATACCACCACTGGGTGTAGCATAAACACCAACTTTCAGGAAGCCAGATTTTTGAAAAAATGTTCAGTGCTATCTATTCATTCAATTTATTCAAATTCTCAGTCTGAACATTTTTGTATATAATGCAGGAAAGAAATATTTCCACAACTAGCATAGCAAAGTATACCATTAACTACAAACTATGTCCTAGAAACAAAATTTCAGAAAAATCCTACATAATCCTACATGCTTTTACTGTCCTCTAGACTGACTGTGACAAAACCAGTAGCTACTGTGATATGCTGCATAAAATTATCATATCTTCATTAGCTTAATATCCAGGCCATAATGACTCTTTTTATTTCAAATATTGTCTAATTGTTCAGAGCAATTCAGGCTCTTATCAAGTCACCAGGTGTTGTTTAATAGCAAAAATTGATAGAAGTTCAGTTGGAACAGTTTGACTTGATTAAACTTCCTTTAATGTTTAATGTTTAAACAATAACTGATAATTTTCCTGTTTATTTCTTTCTTCCTATATTTCCTATGGTCTCTACATAGAAGATATAGTGCTAACAGTCTCAGTCTTCAACATGATTTATCTAAATTAATAAAATTTCACCTGTGTTGGCCGTGTTTAACTTCTTTTAATCCATTTTGTTTTATTTATTTTAGCTTTTATTTTATTTCTGTTTTTTATTATATAAGTCTAATTAATGGCTGAAATAAAACTGACTGACTACCGTTTGTCTCTTAGGCAAATAATGTAGATTACAAAATATTGCTGTAGTTTAGCAAAAACATGGATACTCCCAAATCCCCTATGTCAGATTTAGCCATTTATTTTCAGAAGATTTAGATTATGTCATTAGGAATAACTTTTTTATTATATCTGCACATTCTAGAATGTTAAGAAGGATATTGATGACAATCTGATGAGTCATTCCAGTTATCCTGCTCTACTGACTTTGAAGAGTGAAGACAACCCGCAAGTGATGCTTCAGTCTCCGAAATCTATGGTTCAGCATGTTTTGGAACAGAAAAAGAAACTAGAAGAAGAGCTACAGGAGTTTAAAGAGCAGATTGAGGAAGCTGGGTTCTCTTCCATTTCTCAGCTAAAGTAAGTCAGACTGACACCAGAAAATATCTGGGCATCCAGCAATCTGAGTTCTTATCAGAGAGCTCAATACATTTCAGTATAGAAACATAAAAACTATTAGGCTTGCCCCAGCTGGGGTCCTTAGGAAAGAAAGACCCTCGACTCCATTTAGTTGGAATGATAGGTTCTTTTACTAAAGTTAAGGGGTCGCAGCTAAAGAAAAGCTAGATATGAATATTCCTGTGCAAAGGTTACACTTTCCCCCTTTCCTCAACCCTCCCTCGTGACCAGTTCATCAATGTCCAATGACTTTCAGATAATTTGAAAACGGCTTGGCTGTTTGGTGTGACTCAATGCAGTTTCACATTTGTTCTCAGGCCAGTGTCCTTGAAGAAGACTGGTGTATTCTGAGCTTGGCACCTCTGGATTCCATTAAAGCTGTCACCTTCACCTTCCCACCTTTTATCTTTATGTTCCCATCACTTTACATTCCCTTGACCTTTCCCCGCCTCCCTTGCATTTTATGACAGGATGCCAGCAAAGCATAGAAGCTGCAGATGACATCTGACATTCTGCCCCCCTTTTCAGAGACATTAGTCCTATATGAAGAGAAAAAAATGGGAAGGGAGAGAAAAGAGAGAGAGTAGGCTTAATTTGTTGGCATTCAATGAGGTTTATCTGGGTGTCTATCATGGAACTTTCGAAGAAGTTTTGAGACACATGTGTTGAATGTCTACCATTCTATCTCTGACAGGGGAAGACTTTCCAAGCTACTAGATATTGGATTTTTCCTCTGTGTGTGCAAGAATCTAAAATGTCTTTGACTTCAAAGAGTTGCTCTCCTTCAATCAGGATGGGATCAGGCAGTGATTTCATGACAGGGCATAAAGGATAGCTGGTTGATTGTTTTAGTAAGCTGCAATAGAATACCGGATGAATGCATCTACGGGTTTTTGACAGATCAAGTTGCACTGTTACTGGATTAATAATTTTGCTGATGGGGAAAGGACCAATGTACTTTGGACCTAACTTCTTTAAAGATTGTCTGGATTATAGGTACTTAGTAAACAGGTAAACTTTGTCACCAAGTCTGAATTCTTTTGGTTTAGAGCGTTTCTTGTTGGCTTGTTTTTATATGATTCTCAAGCTTTTTCAAACACTTTCTGGACTACTGGCCAGTGTTTTGTGATTGTGAAATCCATTCACTAGACTTGTGGTTTGTGGTGTAACTTGAGGCAATTCAAGGATAAATACAAAATCCTGCCCAGAGGCCACTTTAAAAGTAAATCCCATGCTGTCATGTACAGTGTTATAATATGCAACCTCAGCAAAAGGAAGGTCTGTTCAATTATTTTATTGATAATTAATGTAGCATCTCAGATATTGTTCTAGGACCCCATTTGTATGTTCACATAGCCCATTCATTTTTGAAAGGTGGGAGGAGCTAAGCCCCTTCATGATTCCTAGTAATTTTAGGAATTCATGCCAAAAGAACGAAGTGAATTGAACGTGAGATCTAAAATGATTGATTCTGGTGCCCCATGAAGTCTGTATAGATGTTGCATGAATAGCCTAGCTAAGGTACATGCTGATGGGATTTTTTGGCAGGGCACAAATGTACTTGTTTAGAAAACAAATTGGTTATCACCCAAATTACTGTGTTTCCAGAGCTTTCCAATAGCTCCACTATAAAGTCCATTGAGATCTCTTTCCAGGGTACTTGGGTTGGAGGATTCCCAGTGTTTTTCCTTGGTGTCTTTTGACTGAGGCACAAACAGGATGGCTACATAGGTTTCTGTGTTCTTTTTGAGTGATGGCCACCAGAATTGACTATTTTTATTTTATTTATTTATTTTATTTGTCAATTGCTTACAAGATAATAGGTATAAGTATATACATAGTTATGAATACATGAAATGGGTACATATAAGAAAAATAAAAGAAACAATAGGACAGGGACGGTAGGCACGTTGGTGCGCTTATGCACGCCCCCTGCAGACCTCTTAGGAAAGGGGTGAGGTCAATAGTAGACAGTCTAAGGTTAAAGTTTTTGGGGGTTGGGGAAGAAACCACAGAGTCAGGTAGAGTATTCCATACATTGACCACTCTGTTGCTGAAGTCGTATTTCCTGCAATCAAGTTTGGTGCGGTTAACCTTGAGTTTGTATCTATTGTGTGCTCTTGTGTTGTTATGGTTGAAGCTGAAGTATTCATTGACAGGTAGGACATTGCAATGTATGATTTTATATACTATACTTAGATCAGACCGAAGACAGTGTAATTCAAGGTTTTCTAGGTCTAGAATTTCAAGTCTGGTGGCATAAGGTATTCTACAATGAGTAGAGGAGTGGAGAACTCTTCTTGTGAAATATTTCTGGACTTTCTCAACTGTGCTAATATCAGATACGTAATGTGGGTTCCAGACTGATGAGCTGTATTTGAGTATTGGTCTAGCAAATGTTTTGTATGCTCTAGTTTTAGTGTGATATTACCAGAGAAAAAGCTACGTAGGATTAGGTTAACAACTCTTTTAGGTTAACAACGCCTTTTTGGCTATGTAGTTTACAGTGGGCTCTAGCACTTAGATCATTTGAGATGAGTACTCCAAGATCCTTGACAGAGCTTGGATCATCAACAAGATCTTGACTATTCAGCTTGTATTTTATTTTCTGATTTTTTTTTGCCAATATGTAAGACAGAGCATTTATTTGTTGAGATTTGAAGTTGCCATTTGTTTGACCATTCTGATACATAGTCAAGATCTTTTTGAAGGGTAGCAGTATTGTCTGTGGTATTGAACAGCTTTACATCATCAGCTAAAAGAACGCAGTTGCTCTTAATATGATCACAGAGGTCATTTATGTAGAGTATGAAGAGAGTTGGCCCTAGAACACTGCCTTGGGGGACACAACTATTGACAGGCACAGAATTTGATAGGACACTCCCAAATTTGACCATTTGTTGTCTGTTTGACAGGAATTCTTCTATCCAGTTACGCAGTTGTCCAGAGATACCATAAGATTTTATTTTTAGGAGTAGTTTGTCATGTACCACTGAATCAAAGGCTTTACAGAAGTCTATGTAGATTGCGTCTATTGCTTTGCCCTGATTGAGTTGTGTAGTCCATATGTTTTTGCAGTGTAAGAGTTGCAGATTACAGGATAGTTTTTTCCTGAAATCAAATTGTTTATTGGAGAGTAGGTTGTTTGTCTCTAAGTGGAGGATAATGGATTGGTTAATAATTGATTCCATGACTTTACAGGTGATGCAGCATAAGGAGAGTGGTCTGTAATTTTCAACTAGGCTGGGGTCTCCCTTTTTGAAGATGGGGATGACCGTGGCTTGTGACCATAGGTTAGGCAAGGAGCTGGTCCTGAAAGATTTTTCAAAGATTATGCTTAGAGGTTCATGAGATGTAAGTTTTTTTACAGAGCTAAACTGTTTTTGAGTCATGGCTTTTTTGGAGGATGACAGTGGCTCTCGAGGACATGTTTTGCCTGCTACCCATGCTAAGCCATCACATAGTGTGCACTTGGCCTGGTGGGTTTTAAACCATTTATCTTTCTCTAATTCACCTTTCAGCACAGCAATCAAGTTGTCCACAACTTGAGTTTTAAGCTTCCCTTGCCCCTTGTGATGGCTGGGACTACCAGCTGCTGAGATGGGATAACTGGTCTGATGACTTCAGGTTTGGAGCTATTATATTATGGGAGCCTTGATAGAGCATCAGTCAGAAAGTTTTTTCCCCTCTAGGTAATACCATAACATTAAATGGTTAAAATTTTGGCCCTACTGGACTTGTTTAGGGGACAGGTGTCTCCAGGGCCTCTAAAGTTTTCTGGTCTATCCACATTTCAAATGGAGCTTTGCTTCCCTCTAAGAAATGTCTCCAAGTTAGAAGTGCCCAATGCACTATGTAGGATTCCTTCTGCCACAGCACCCATCCAAGCTCAGTCTCAGTGAGATTTTTGGAGATGTAGATGCATGTTCATTTTTCTGTAATAAAACAGCCTCATGGCTACATCGCTAGCATCAGTTTGGATGATAAAAGGGGCACTTGGATTGGGATTGGGATTGGGATTAGCACCAGCTAGGTGGCGAACAAGCGCTTAAGTTTTTTTAATGTGGTTTGGCACTCCATGAACCACTTCAGGGACTGGCTAAGCTTAGGTTTCCTTTCCCCTTTGGTATTTTGTAGGGTGGTGATGGGTAGTGCTATTTGCACAAATGATGGGATAAACTGACAATAGAGGTTAGCAAATCCCAAGAAGCTTTGAAGTTGCTTCCTGGTACAGGGAGGAATCCACTCTAACATTGCTCTCACCTTTTCAGGGTCCATTTCTATTCCCTCGTGGGATATGCAATACTCCAAATAATCAATTTTGCTCTGGTGGAATTCACATTTAGAATATAGCTGAGTTATCTTGCAAAGTTTCTTGTACATGGCTCACACTAATTCACATGCTTGGTCATAGTCTTGGTGTAGAGCAAACTATCATCTAAATAAACTAAGACCCCCTTGTACAGGTGTTCATGCAACACATCATTTATCAATTGCATGAAGACAGCACCCAAAAGGGAGCATGCAGAATTGGAAACATCCTATATGGCAATTAAATGCAGTTTTCAACTTGTCTCTATACTTGATCCTAATTCAGTAGTTGTAAGGACTTGCCTCTCCTACCCCCTCAAGAAATCAGAACTCTTAAAATAGGCAGCATTTCAAAAGGAACTCTTTTTGGGGGGAGATAGTGATAGCAAGAAGAATAGGCAAGATCTGAAGTTCCTGCTCAAAATTGTTAGATTAAAAGTTGTAGAAACCTCTCCCCTGTGTCCGGTCCGAGGTGAGCCAATTTGAAGTTTGAAGTTGTTTTGGGAACTTTGAACTATGAAGGTGATAAGAAATTGTTCTCAGGCACTGCTTGCTCATTCCTCTGGATCTGAGACAAAACAGATGGCCCCAGACTCATCCCTCCCCACTCCCATTCCCAGGAAAATACATCAAAATAAAGGAAAGACCCA